TGCTTGGAGAAACACCCCCTGCCCCAGTGGGAATCATTTGAAAGAAAGACAGAGTCCTTCTACATAGATCCATTTACATTGGCCAGATTCAGGAGTGACTAAATGGAGATTCCCTGGATGGACAGATGGGGACTATAATGTTTATGTCATAGGCAATAGAAGTAATTGAAAATATCAGGAAATGATTTCTGAAGATTTTGGTGCAAATAAATTTGTGATTGATGTGTGGAATGGACTTACCAGGACAGTAGACCCTTGGAAAAAGGCAGGCAAGAGCTGGTCCTCAGCTAAGACACAAGACTCACCTGTGGAGTCCCAGAAGCCACAGGAAGAGGTAAGGTGATTGGAACTCTGTAGCTGCACACCAAGGACAAAGAATGAGAGTAACAGAGGACTTTGAGAAAGACACCACAGGTGCATCAAGGAAGGTGTTAGTAGAAGGTGTATGAGCTGTCAGCTTGTACTTGCACACATCAGCTTTGGAGAATCCAAAGCTTTGGAGCATAGCACCATGGGATATCCAATGGTCCTGTGGGACTGGAATGGGAGTGATATGCAATCATCAAAATGGGATGGGTGGGTGCCACTAGCCACCGACATCAGGTTATGTAAGGAGCCATTGGAAGCTACTAAGCAAGGTCATTGAAATGTCTCTGGTGACCTTTTCATAGTTGGTATAAGAACAAAGGCTAGGAAGAATTCTGAATGTCTTGTTTACTGAAGAGGAGTTCAGTTTGTCTTGTTCTGGCATTTTCTGTTCGGATTACTTGCAGAATTATAAATGAGTAAGAAGATGGTATTTGGGTATTTTATTTGCCATTTCTTCTTTTAACCTCATTATGGAATGGGATTGCAATTAGTTAGCCCCCTCTCATGTTGTCTTTGGAAATGTCTTGCCTCACAGTGCACAGTGTCTAAGTCAGAAAACCCTTCATGGTTGCATCAGTGGTGTGGTTGACAGCTGACCTCAGGTCATCTGCTGGCTTCTTGAAGAACAGTGTGTGTGTGTGTGTGTGTGTGTGTGTGTGTGTGTGTTTAAGTGTGCAAAAGAGAGAGGATAGAAGATAACTGGGGTTCACACAAGATATGAGGATGACTCAGAGACTACGCTGTCTCACTAAACCATGGGCCACCCTCAGAGAAAGCCAATACTCAAAAGCAGGCAACTAAGAAAGATGAAGTTTCTTGGCTAGCTTGACTTCGCCACTGAGTAGAGGTAAAAACAAAAAGTTAGAATTCTAACTTCAGGCCTGCTCTTATGTAGCTTTAGAATTGGGATCCTGGGTGGTGAGCTGAGGGTGTATCTTCCAGATATTGGAATCAGCAAGGAGGAATATAAATATGCATTTTATACATTTATCAAAATAAAAGAGAACATTGCAAATAAAACTATGGAACAAGACATTATCATAAAGGGCTAAATAGATTGATGACATTCTTGATATGAAAATAAAACATTGGGATTAGGTTCTCAAATGGTTGAGTTAAATAGCAGAGTAGGCACCTGGAAATAGAGAAATTACTGAGGAAAAAAGAACAAGAAGTATGAACAGAGAAAAAAACATAGAAAAAGAAAAAGACACACAGGGCAGGTTGAAGAGGTTTTACATAGGTTTAATCAAAAGGAGAGTCAAGAGAAAAGGACCAAGAGGCCCTGATTTCCCCAACTATGAAAGAGCTGAGTTTTCAGACCTAACAAGCTTGATATATCCCAAACAGGATTTTAAAAAAGTAACTCGGCCTGGCAAGTGCAAGGTCCTCAATTTGATCCTTGGTACAAAAAAAAAAAAAAAGTAACTTGTACTTTGTCAAACATCAACACAAAGAGAAAATAGAAAAGATGGATTACCTATGTGAATGTTGGTTAGATTTATAGCTAACTTTCCAAAACTGAAATGGGACAAGATTAAGGTATCTTCAGAATGCTGAGAGAAATAATTGTCAATCTAGAGAGAGAGATAGGATGGGACAGCTGACTAGGCATATTTACTTATAAATTTAAGAATATAATTCAGGAAAAAAGAAAATGAACCCAGGAGAAGTTCTGAAATGCAAGAATAAAATAGAGACAAACAAAAAAAAGGTAATGATTACATTTAAAATGTCAGGAGTGGTGTCCCAAATTTTCTGGTCAAGGAGATTATAGGGCCACAGAGGAAAATGATTGATGACATAAGTGTGCCTAAGGAGAGTCACCTAGAGAAAAATTCTCGCAGGTTTTCACAGAGAGCAAAATGGTCAAGCAATGGCTGTGACTCATCCACATGGCTGACAGGGACAAAAATCCACAGGATGCTGTACATGGTTCCAGACTAAATCCTGAGGGGATTTGACTGATCTTGTCAGATAGAAAAAATTACATTTTTAGTTATATAGGTCTTGCTCTAACTTGCTTTTAACCATCCAGCAGAAAAGTGTGACCATGAGGTATAAAAAGTAAAGCTATATTAATATGCTGAGCTGTAAAAGGCTCAAGTCAACAACTTAAGACAATTGCCAGTTGTATTGATAACTCACTACTCTTATGGACTATTGGACTATACTGAGTTATTTTGCTGAATTCAAGTACCTACAATCTTTGGTCTGGCTTCAAGTATGAAAAGGTCCTTTAAGGACTTCTCCAGATACAGCTTCTCTAACTGCAATGCAATACATATCTCTAACAAAACAAAACAGGAGGATATAAATAAGGGACCGTT